TGAGGTAAACTCTTTAAATCCATCCATCTCTGTTAGTATCTGAAGCAGGCCTTGTTCCCTTTCTGCACCACCCTTCATAAGTTCATAGGACAATTGCAGATACCAAAAACGCTGGTGTGAATTATAATCATGAAATCAACTAAAGATTCTTAAATTCAAAATGGCACCAGTGAACTAAGTCATCAACTTCATAAAGAATGAACATGTATAAGTGCCTATTTGGAAGCCTGTTTGGCACCAAAATGGCACCAGTGAACAATGTTTTTATTAGGTATATCAGTCGTGTGGGGCATATATATCAAATTCAGATATTATCCTTGAACCATTGATTCTTTTGACAACCATAAAGATCAAATCCTTGAGCAAACAAAACAAACTTCCAAGCACCAACAGAACAAAACTGAGAATATGAATGAAGATAAACTTATGTCTTATCAAACCTACTGATAATAGCTGAAAAATGCATCGTGTATGTCCCTTAAATATACCCTTAGAGCTTATTTATTTACTAATTTATTCATTTTGGTCTATTATATTTTTATGTAGGCAAATAATATTGGAATTATGTGGGCAGCTTGCTGGAGTGCAAAAGAGATGAAGTAAAAGAGAAAACTAAGCCAATTGGTTGGAGACTCATCACGTGCTAAGTAAGAGACCATGACTTATCAAAAGAGGAAGCTGACGTGCATGCATAGGATTGTAGAGAAGTTAAATTCAAGGAGGAAAATAAATCCTAAGGGGTTAGGATTTGACTGTTATAAAAGGGTTCTACTTGCTCCGTCTCAGTGATTCAGCTTTTTGGCCCAAAATACTTTATTTTTCTAGAGTTATTTTTCTTTGTTATGGAGAACTAACTCCCTAGCCAAAGCTAGGGGAAAAGCCTTCGAGATACTATGTGATTTCATTAGTTTGATTTGAATGGAGCTTTAACGTTAAATTCTTATTTATGGATTTGTTCAATTTAATTTTAATTTTTCTCTTTGATCGATTGATGGGTGCTTGATAATCTTATTCATTGAAATTATTTCTTGATAGGTTGTTGCTGTAGGTACAAGTTACGAAATTAGATTGGGTTTTAAATGTGAACAATCATAGTGAGAATCAAATTAATGGGATTACATACGTATTTTGAAGGTAGAACCCCGACGTCTTAGTGTTTTATTATTATTGAACTTTCTTCTAATCTTTTAATCATATTCTTCTTGTTCCAGTTATCTTACGTATTTTGTGCACTTTAACACCACTCTTTGTGAATACAGTACTCGACTTACAAGATTTACTATTGCACGACACTTGCATTTGGGTTTAGCAAGCACCTACAAAGGACTGGCATATTATTCATGAAAGGAATGCTAAAATACATCATAACCAAAGATAATATAAAGTCTCACATCATGCCCCAAGAAACAAGATACGAGCAGATATAAAATATCTTCCTAGCAACCCCTCTCACACTAGAACACTCCATGCTCCAATCCTGCAATGAGAAACAAAGGGTAAGGATAAATCAACAGTGAGGATTCGTATCTTGAACAAATAGTCCATAAAATGATTACTTGATTACAAACTTTAAATATACTTACATATTTTGTTGAAGGCTACAATGTCACAGCTCTGGACATACTCATTAATTGGTTCAACAGTAAGTTGTTCCTCAATAAGAGTGTCAACAGAGACCAGGTCATCAACAATTGTTAGCATTATTTGCAACTTCTTTATTCCATACCCAACAGCTACAAGTTTGGCTGCAGAATCAACAAGATAATAAATAACCAAATTTGGAACATAAAGGTTGGTTTAGCATCAATCAAGAGGACTAAAAACTTCATAACATTGACTTCCACATTGCTAATGTATTAAGTGCATATCAATGGCCAAATTTTGTTGCTAACTATGGTTAGAAAATCTGGCCCTTAGCTTATAACTGCAATTAACTTAGATGAAAGAACTTACATGCTCCCCAATGCAAGCCTTCAAGGTGAACACTTCTTACTGCCTCCTCAAGTTTTTTCATGTCAGTTTCATCATCCCATGGCTTCACATCCAACAGGACTGATGACTTTCCAGCTGACAATGGAAAAATACAACAACAAACCTTCAGAACGAAATAAACAACGTGAATGGGGAAAGGAGATGGATGTATTAAAGGGCTGAAAACAAGATAGGAAACTAATATTAAAGGGCTGAAAACAAGATAGGAAACTAATATTAAGGGGCTGAAAACAAGATAGGAAACTAATATGAAAGGGCTGAAAACAAGATAGGAAACTAATATGAAAGGGATGAAAATCAGATAGGAAACTAACATTCTTTCTTTTTTGTAGATGCCTTGATGGAAGCTGCACGCTCTTCAGCAGCCTTCTTCTCTTCTTCAGTCTCTTCGCCAAACAGATCCACATCATCATCACTGTCTTCAGCAGCTGAGGCCTGAAAACCGTATCACATTCTAACACATGAGCATAACAATTGTATGCAATTTCTTAAAGCGGATAAAGCAATAATGGCCCAACCCTAACACTCCACATTATAAGCAAAAAAGCAAACAGACATCCAAATAAGAACTCAGTAAATAGGGCAGAAAAGTGCTTGCCTTTGTATCAGCCACAGGAGGTGTAGCAACAGCTTCCTCTGTGATGGGAGCAGATCCCTCAACAATGACACCAGAGCCTTGTCCAGAAACACCACTACAACAACAGACAAAATCAAATAAGTCAAAGATTTAACCCAAATATATGATCTTTGAAGAAATCCATCATAATCTAATAATAAAGATAAAAGAAACCCATCACAAGTTATAAGAACTTACGAAATCCTAAGAAGTGCAGTGATATGGTTGTACCACCGAGACACGTTCACAAATTCTGATGATGGAGGCTTTGAAAGAGCTGCATGGACAATGAGATCATCCTTTGAAGCTTCATAGCCAGTGATGTAACTGCGGGCAAGCAAGTAGTCATCCAATTTCTTCAGGCCAACAGCCGAGTTGATGTCATGGAATGTGACTGCCATTGATAAGTCTTTTTGTGATTTTCCTACAACCCAGATACAAAAAATTTAGTCTTTCATCCATGGATGAGTTACAACTTACATACCCACTGATAGGTACCAAAATCAGCCAACTAATCTAATGCATAATTAGACAAAGCCCAACCGAACAAATATTGCCAAACATTATATTACTGACAAATGAAGTGCTTTTAAAGATTTTATTCTGGAAAATTTTCTCAACCGATCAGTTCCAGAGGTAAAAGCAACTATTTGTATCCATAAAAACATAAACCCAGATACCAAAAATTCAGTCTTTCATCCATTGATGAGTTACAAACCCACTGATAGGTACAAAAATACCCAACAAATACATAATTAAACAAATCCCACCAGAACAAATATTGCCAAACATTATATTACTGAAAAAATAAGTGCTTTTGAAGATTTTATTCAGGAAAAATTTATCAACCATTGAGTTCCAGAAGTAAAAGCAACTAAGGTTATCCGTAAAACCATAAACTTTAACCAAACTGAAAATCTAAGAAAAACTAGAAAACTGTTTCAATTTCAAACACTAAAGAGATAAATGAATCATATAGCCTAAAAGACTCTGACTTTATCAAAAGTAAGGATATTGAGCAACGGATCTGAGCTTACCTTAAGCAGGAGGAGCTACTACACAGAGAGGAGGAGAGAGAGATGACTGTTAATAGGTTGAGATTTCTAGGGTTTCTAAGGATTATATAGGCAATTACGGGTCTCCGGATAAAATGAGGAGTCATCTAAATGGCCCGGGCCGGGCCGGGCTGACACAATCAGGTTACGGCCCAACATGTTTAAATCAGTAGAACATAACATGACATGAAAACGACGTCGTCCAAGTCTTCGGCTTGCTGTTAGTAAATCCTAGCTTGACAATAGCACTTTCACAGTGCCTTGGTGGAGCTCCAGCCGTACCCAATTCGATCAGCGTTAGAAAGAAAGAGAAGAAGAAGAAGAGGAGAAGAAAGTGATGCCGAAGAGAACAACACACACGTACTCGAGCGAGGACGCTGCTCCAGATGGACCTGACTCTGATCTCTTCGTCTACTACTGCAAGCACTGTGGATCTCACCTCCTCATAACTGGTTCTCTCTCTCTCTCTCTCTCTCTCTCTCTCTCTCGATTGTAGTTGGGTTATTGTTTGAGCAGAAATTAATATGTTTCAAAAAAGAAATTGGTATAATTGCTCATTTTAATTGGTATTAGATATTTCATAATGGTTGTTAAAATAGAGTTTGTTGAATAATATTTTTGGGCAAGCAGTTTATATTATACTGAAGTGTGTGTTGTATAAGATACCCAGTTGCAGAAAATGCCCAAAAGGAAGACTGACAAAGCTTATGTGTTGGACAAGAGCAAACATCTTGCAAGGCTTAACATTGCTGAGGCTGGAAAAGTTGTATTGAAAAGGTTCTTTTTCTTCTTCTAATGAAAGTATGATATCTTTAGTGTTATACAGTTTGTAAGAAGAAGAATACAATTGGGTTTTTACTGATGTGTGTTGTATACTAGACTGGATGACACTCTCTGTTTAACAGTGGCTGATCACCTGCCTTCAGTTTCTTGTACCTCAGTTTGTCTGACAGTTTCTGAGAAACTATTTTGTTTCTGCACCTTTTCATACGTATGTTCTTCCTTGAGATTGTCCTGTCAGTGCATTATGTTCTTCAATCAAGATAGAGTTTAATGATTTTTTTCAAGTACAATTATTATGTGATAGTATCATCGTAGTTCATATTTTGAAATCTTGATCGTTATTAATCCAGGGGTGAGGGGAAAATGGAGAAGCAATTTCGTATGAACTGTGTGGGTGGTGGACTCTTTGTTTTCTATCGCTCAGAAGAAGATTTGGAAGGTGCTTCTTTCATTTATGTTTCAAGTGGCTATAGAAGTGGAAGACCGTGCACAACGGTCAGCAATCACAAGTAAAAGAAATTTTTAATGTATTTCTGTCATATTTTTAGCATGCAACTCATTAGTTCGAATGGAAATCATAAGTCAATTCGTGCATATACTTCTTTTGATTTTTTTGGATTTCGTGTGTTCTGAGCACTAGTCCTTGCTGACTTTTAAGTTTGATATCTATATATATACCTCTAGGAGGGCTGTGTTCGCCAAAAAAAAGTATTTTTTTACCAGAAATTTAAATGACCGATTATATTTTAAATTATTGGTTCCTTGACATAAATTTCATGTTCCCACTTTTTTCTCTTATGACAGGAGTGAATGCTGATGATGTTAGAGTTACTGTGGCTGCACCTGCAGCTCGGGGAGAAGCAAACAATGAACTCTTGGAGTTCATGTGGGTGTTGGTGGCATCTTGGGTGTATCATATTCTGTTTCAAATGTGCCTATGTTAAGGAGAACGTTATCATTTTCGTTATAAAAAAATTAAGTATTGTAAAATAAACGGGATATGCTAGAATATTGAGCTGCACGTAAAGTAGATGAGACACAACATTGAACGAGGTTCGGCCAGGCCTACGTCCTCGGAGAGCAGCAACAGTAACTTTTCCACTATGTAAAATAATAGGGCTACAACTTTAGTATTTACAATATATGTGGCTCACTGATTTTTCTCTCTTGGAGAATCTCTGTGCTCTCTTTTTCTCTCCACTCACTCACCCTCTTTTTTCCTTCTCTTCTTTCTCTTTGGGCTCTCTTTTATTTCATTTGGATTCATTTTGGCCATCATCTTCCTCTTTCGAGGAACTGAGTCCTTTGAGCCTAGTGGTCTGCCATGCTTCAGGCGTGCAACAGATGAACCATTTGCTGGCACATTGCTTTGTTCATTATGGACATCAATCTTTGCAGGTGCATTTGTAGCTGAGATATGTGATTTCGTCACCTTTGTTGCATCATTAAATGCATCTGGCATATGATTTGCAATACTTTGGAGGTGAACGATCCTTCTCCCTTCATTTTCGCATTGAGCAGTATGAGGATCGAGATGAGACAAAGTAGGTACATCCCACGATAATTCACGTCGTTCTTCAGTAACGATTTTGCCTTGTTGTTCCTAATAATCAAAGTATGAAAAGTACCACTGCATTTGAGAGTAGAATTATATTTGCTCATCTGGTGTTTACACTGACAGAATTTCTTCTCAAATAAAACTCACTGACACTCAAATTTCTCACTCTCTCTTCTTTCCTCTCACTCTTCCTTTTTTCTTTTCTCTTTTCCGTTGGTGTGTCTTTGCAAGTAGAAAGGATGCCTATTTATAGGCAAAGCAAATGGCACCCGTTAGTGGTAAGGGAGACGTCATGATGCTTCTTTCCAACATCATCATTAATCTTTTGACTAATATTTCCTTCTTTTCTTCATGTGGGCTTCACTACTTCCTTTATAACACTCCCCCTTGGAGATCACATGTCCCTAGATTGGTTGCCTTATTTAAACCTTGCTTGGAAAAACCCAGTGGGAAAAAACCTAAGAGAAGGAAAAAGAGCAACTTTATTTGGGACATAAGGGTAATGTTAAATGCGCTCATGTTGCCTCGTTAAAATCTTGCTAGGAAAAACCCAGTGGGAAAAATTCTAGTCGAAGGAAAAAGAGTACAACGCGCATATGTCCTGTGTTAGAGGACTCTTGAATGCTCCCCTTGATTTTGCATGCTTCAATTTGATTGCTTCCAGAGTTGGCATAATCCGATACCATGCACTAGCTGTAACATCCCGACTCGAGATATTGATAAATTTGGATTTAATTTAAGATTTTAATTTGAATTTTCAATTTTGCCCTCGGGTAGGGGCTAAATGGTCATTTCTACCCGGAAGGATTTTGGGTAACAAGTGGTATTTTTAGGAAGGTGGTATTGAAACGAGTCTGTAGACATGCGGAGGGTTTGAATCGAACTTGTAACGAAGAAGATACGAGATAAAAACCTCCAGTGGCACAATCGTAATTAAGTCGAAGTTAATTTTTGATAAAAATCAGAAAATAGCCCCTCTTTTCTCTCTCTCTCTCTCTCTCTCTCTCTCTCTCTCTCTCTCTCTCCTCGCGACCTAGCCCCCTTCACTTGCGATTTTTCTTACAGCCGCCATAACCACCACCACCGGACCGTATCCAAAACAATAGGCCAAGCTCCGCTGTGTTCCCCCGACCTTGCGCTGCCTGGAAATAGCCACCAGCTGCCGGAATCTACCAAAATCGCACCGGATTTTGACAGAACTTGTCGCTCGTTCTCCCTCGTTTCTCCACCAAATTGGACGAGTAAGGTATGGAAATCCATCTACTCTTCGTGCTCTAGCTGCCTGTTGGGTAGGATTTGAACGATTTCTAGCTTAAGCAATTTGATTTCGTACCCTAAGTTTGGCCGATTTTCAAATTGAAATTTAGGCCACTACGTGCTCGGATCTCAATTTGGATATCATTTGAGCCTCAAACGGATTTTCCATATTATACGATTTTCGGGTTTGATATGTTAGAACCATTGGATCAAACCCAAATTTACGTATGTTGTTCCCTGTATTCCTAGGATCGTGTAGGATTTCGCGGATCGTGAATCGGAGCCTCGGATGTTCCGATTCAATAACTTAAAATTTATATTTTATGTTAATCGTCCAACCGTGAGCTATTTGACCGCCCGGTTGACCGAGCCTCTTCCGAGATTATTCCAGCACTTGACATATTGTGCGATTTCCGGGTTTAGCTGACAGGACCCATCCCAAATTTCCTCGGAAACCGGGACGAATCCTGTCTGTGATTCCGGCACCCTACAGATACCGGGCCCACTTACTAAGAACTGAGACTATCTACCAAAATTTTGGCAGTCTCCCCTGTACACAGGAAGTATCCCAAAATTTCAACATGTCAAAAACACAGTTATTTACAACCCAACAGCCAGCATGCGTTACACAAAGCATAGTGTTTACAAACCATGGCCTCTGGCTTCACAAATCAAATCCTAACAGGGCAATAACAGAGCATGTCTATCAGAATTCAACAAACCAACAAAAAGGAAGTTTAACGAATTTACAGAGTACAGAAACTCTACAAACGAGGACTTGAAAATAAAATCCTAATTTCCCGGGTTTCAAGTAAGCACGAGGAACGAAACGTTCCTAAGGTCCAACTAAGGGTTTCAAGTGCTGGAATAATCTCGGAAGACGCTCAGTCAACCGGGCGGCCAAATAGCTCACGGTCGGACGATTAACGTGAAACATAAACTTTAAGTTGTTGAATCGGAACATCTGGGGCTTCGATTCACGATCCGTGAAATCCTACACGATCCTAGGACCACAAGAAACAACATACGTAAATTTGGGTTTAATCCAACGGTTCTAACATATCAAACCTGAAAATCGCAGAATATGAAAAATCTGTTTGAGGCTCAAACGATATCCAAATGTGCCGCCACCATACAGCCCACGCACTGGTCGGCAGCACGTGGGTGGCTTGATTAAAAACTGGCAGTCGGAAAAACTTCGAATAATGGCTCAAGACTCCTACCCTACTTTAAACCCCTAATTTGGAGTCACTTTTGTTCTTGGACGTACCCCAAATTATCGACGGAAGTGGCTGGAATTTCAATTTGAAAACCGGCCAAACTTAGGGTTCGAAATCGAATTGTTTAAGCTAGAAATCGTTCAAATCCTACCCAACAGGCAGCTAGAGCACAAAAAGTAGATGGATTTCCATACCTTACTCGTCCAATTTGGTGGAGACGCGAGGGAGAACGAGCGACTCAAAGTTCTGTGAAAATTCGGCGCGATTTT